CTTCGACGCACCTCGGAGCTGCACGGTGTACTCTCGTTGGATCATTTACACTCCGCTCCTGCTCGACAAGTCATGGAGGAGCTGGTCGCTTTTGACGGCGTTGGTCCAAAGGTCGCAAGCTGCTGCAGTGCCTTCTGCATCGGCAACGACGAGATGGCCGTCGATACGCACGTATACAGGCTTTCCAAAGCGCTTGGGTGGGTGCCTGACAAGGCCACTCGAGATCAGACTTAGTGAGTCGCGCGTGTTGGCGTGCGTGCGTCCGTCAGAATCAGCTCGCTCCAGCCTGAAATTCTGAACTGTATCATGTCTTCATCTCTCGTCCACAGTTTTCATCTCGCGGAACGTCTACCTTCCGAGCTCAAGTACGGTTTGCACGTCTTGCTCATCAGACACGGCAAGAGCTGCGCCAACTGCAGCGCAAAGGGCTTTGCGACGGATCAGAGGGCGCGGCGACAAGATTCGGAGGATGCTGACGAGACGGGCGCTAGGGATGACAGCAAAGCCAACGTTGCCATCAAGAAAGAGGAAAGCGGCACACAAGAGCTCGCCATCAAAGCAGAGACCGAAGATGCAGGCTGGGCAGATGAGCAAAGTGACGCGAAAGAAAAAGTGCGACAAGTCAAGGAAGAAGCAGACAAGGGACACAAGGCTCCAGCTGCTCTGCATTCCGATGTGTGCCCACTGAAGGCTGCTGGACTGCTTGGCAAAGGCAAGAGCCGCGTCAAGAAGAGGCAAGCTTCTCCATCAGCTGAAACTCCTGCATCTCCGGGCGCTGCTGACGCGAACGGCAAGGGCAGAGGCAGGCCAAAGAAGGAGAGTGCGCCGGAGGATGCTACACCGGCAAGACGCTCAAAAAGACAAAGGGCGTAAATGTTGCCATTGAAGCCTACAGTCTCGGTGCTCGCAATGCAACACATTTTGCTATCTGGTGATGGTCACTCGGAAGCCTTTAAAATACACTGCTTGCGGCCGAGGCGTGGCCCATTCGCTAGCGCGCGGAGAAGGAGAGGTTGTCAGGAGAGTTGTGCCGCGTTCGTATCCAGAGGCAATACAACTCACTCTCCGTGACCACCAAAGAAGCTGTGCGGGAGAGGCGAGTCAATACGAAATGTGACAGCGCGGATGATGTTCGCAGCAGCGGATCGAACGGCCTTGAATCCAAAGGTGCCACTCACGTAGAAAAGAATAGACCCTTGTGCGTAGCGGGAAAAGCGACTCGATCGAAATGCAGCACCTGACGACCATTACTGTACACTGTCAATTTGCCGTCTTGCACATTGGCGCCTGTTCCCAGCTCGATGGTCTGAGTCAGACGCGTCCATGCGCCCCTGGCGAAGCTGAAAGATCCTCGACCTAGCGAAAGACCATAGTCGCCCTTTGAAGCGAAGGTCGAGTTCAGCTTCGATCACGACCTTGCGCGTCGCAGAGTGGGTCCGCGTGCTCACATTGCAAATGGTGTGGGGCGGCAGCTGACAGATCGCTGGATCTTGTTGCACCTGTGGGACTGTCAGCTCGATCAAGAAGACCAAGATGGAGAGAATCAATTAGGACAAGCGTTCTCTCGGTAGCTTGCAGAAATGTCGCGAGTCGAAATGGCGCAGGAATTTTCAAAAGCACATCGACGTCCCCGACGTTCCGACCCGTTTGCTTGACAGCCGGCATGGCACTTGGCTGCAACTCGACCGATGATCTCGAGTGTATGACCGAACATAGCATCGTTTGCTGGACTTCGATCCCGATTCTCGATCAAAGCCGTGTTGGAAGCGAGGCGCACGCAGCGTAACAGCATTCGCGCTCGTTTATCGCTCGGGCTGGAAAGTTCCGCAGACTTAATGCGCACAGACTGTCAGACTCACGATACATGTACAATTCTCCCGCGCCCTTGTTACCCGGCAATTGACGCTCGTCAGAGGGGAGAGCTCGACGTCGACCCGAGCAGCAGCGCGAAGCGGACTCACATCGGGTCTCCACATGAACCTTGCGCTCCAGCAGTCGGACGCTTCATCACCACCTGAGCAGCTTTCCCGCCCACCGTACAAGCCGGGTAGCTTTCCCCCCTTGACCCAGTCGAAAGAAGCGGGGAAAAAGACAGAGTAGGACAGAGTGACGGCGAGTGCGGATGTGAGGTTGAGTGGTGTTGCAGCGTAGAATTGCGTTCCTCCTACAGGCTCTGAGCCAGGATTTGACGAGCCTACGGGTAGTGACAACACTTCAGCGGCGTGTGGGCATCGTCAAGATACCAATAAGGAGCTCACCGGAGGGATAATATACCTGCACGACCGAGTCTGGTGCACCGCTTACTGCAGCCGAAAGTCCCGCCTTCGCTTTGACTACAGAAGAGCGCGGATGAACCACTCGCAGGGGCTGAGCAGGATTTGCCATCAGTGCTTGCTGAACGCCAGAGGAGTACACTGTCGTATTCCTTGCTTGCTGTGCTTGACCTGCAGCGCCTTGATCATCGGCAGAGACAGGCTGTGCTCCCCCAATATCAACTTGAACCCCCGTGCTTCCGTTGGCGATTGCGCCATTACCGCTCCGCACGTCCTCGCCATCTTGACTCGCACTCAGATTAGCAGTCTGTGCTGCAGGAATAGCGAGTGGGGGAGGCGGTGGAGCAAAAGCGTAGGCTGGCAAACCGTCAGTCATGATGTCCATATTTGCCTGTCCAGTACTGAAACGAAGAATGTTGAATGAGGTCATGTTCTGAAAGTGCGCCGGGAGCGACCAAGATTGGCCGGCTTTGGTCGAGCTTGTGGGCCATGCGATGGGTGCACTCGATCCGTCTTCGCTGCCATCCTCCGCTGAGCCCGGGACGCCTTGCGTGGCTGATCCACGCTGGCCATCCTCTTGGCTGCCATTGTCATCATCCTGCTCACTCGAGCCATGAGCGTTGCCGTCATCGTCGTTTCCTGCATTCTCTTCTTGCTGCCCTTCTTCTGCGTTTGCGTCTGCATCCGATTCACCCTCCACCTCATCATTTGCGCCTTGCCAAGCGGCTCGAAGAGGTGCCATGGCTGTGGGCGTCGCAGGGGATAATGGCGATCCCGTACTTCTGCGCCCCATGTTGTTCTTCTCATTCTCCCTCTTCTGCTTCGGCACTACCAAAGGCAGCGGGCGATCTATTGCCGCTTCTGCCGCCTCGATCGGTCGTGCACACCTTCTCGAAAGCAAGGGAGGCAGATCCCCTTCGGATGACGCCTGCATCGGAGCCGTACGTGAGCTGTGTGGCGCAGAAGTGTGCGCTCTCCCTTGACGATAAATTATCGCCAAGGTGATGCACAAGCACACGATCAGCAGCGCCTTGCGTCTCTTAACATCAACGTCGCAATGACTGCTCGATCGAGTTGCTTGACATTCTTGGCCAAGCTCTGAGCCCTCGATATATGTGTTTTGATGTCTTCGAAGGCGCGTGTACGACATACTTGAACAAAAAACACACACAAAGGCTCTGCAGTGTGTGTGCGCGAGCACTGCCTGATCCTAGCTGTAGCGAGAAGGAGTAGCGATGTGAAGAGAGGGCGAGTGAGGGGAAAGCAAATGGCAAATGTCTACAGACGTGCCAAAAATTTAGCGGGAGCAGCAGATGCTGATTCACATTTGAGCGTCGAGAAGCATCGCTGTTCTTGCCCCCCCGCGCATTTTGTCAATCAACACGGCTTTTCACTCGTGACTCGTGGCTCCAGCCAGCGTTGAGCGGGGCAAGCAGTCTTGAGTCTCTGGCAGCTGCAGGATCATTCTCCTTACCACATCGATGCTGGTGGTGCGTATATAGCGTATACAACCGGTGGGAAAGTCGGTCAGTCGTTGAGCAACGGCAGAAGGCGTTCGTTCATACGGTAGAAGCTGCTTCAACATCCGCCTGTCCTTGGCCGAGCTGCTGTGGTTCCTATCAACTTGGCTACTAGCAAAGCGAGATCCAGCTTTTGCCATA